TAGAAGGGACAAAGGCTAGCCTTCTCTTCCTAAGAGCTGTGAGACCCAAAAGACCTTTTCCTAGCACCGTCACCTGCTATGTGTAGATTTGTTTTGACCTTTTACCTCCTTCCTTTTCACTTCCCTAATCTTTAAAATGAGAACAGAGGGAAAGCAGATGATTGATTGCTTTTCCTTCCTCGATTCTTGATTTTTTTGGCTGCTAGTCTGAGCCTTTAACAGCTGAGCTATCCCTCCAGCCATCACTGCTCAATTCCTGACCTGTTATTTGCCATTTGTTTGTGCAGTGTTAGTTTCCTCCGACTACCTTAACAGTTCCACAAATGTGGCTGGCCTTGAAACAACAGGAATTTATTTTTGGATTCTTATGGCCACAAGTCTGAGGTGGATTTTAATGGGCTGAGATCACTGTACGTCAGCAGGCCGCTTTCCACTGGTGGCTCTGGGAAGAACGTGCCATTGGCGTCTTCTCTCCTCTGATGGCTGCTTGCGCTCTTTGGCTTACGGTACATGCGGTACATCCGTCTAGAGCTTTCATGTCATGTGACCTCATGGTCCATGCTTGGTCTCTCTCTGCTTCTTCCAAGTAGTGCCTCCCTTGTGCTGGCACTGAGGGCCCTCCAGACAACCCATGGGCATCTCCTGAATTGGACACACCTGCAAAGATCCTTTTTTTTTTTTTTCTCTAGTGCATACAGGTTCCAGGGATTTGATTGGATCCTGGTTCCTCTGAAGGCTCGTAGCCTGCTGTATCTGTAACACTTCTTAGTGGTGGACTGATAGTGAATTATTGTTGCCTGTGGGACTTGCTGCCTGTCCAACAGAGAAGGAATTTTCTCAGCACTCTGAATGGAGACCTGAATTTGATGAGAGAAGAGGGGAAGGAAGGGAAATGGAGAAGGAGAGAGAGAGAGAGAGAGAGAGAGAGAGAGAGAGAGAGAGAGAGAGAGAATGAGCCAGGAGAATCAGAGTTGCTCCCCACCCTGGTCCTACTGTGAATTACGTTGATTTGTTTAATGTCAGATGATGTTTATGAAAGGTCACCTGTTCTCACAGCACACATTCACTAATGGTTGAATCATTCGCCATATCACCCCAACCCCCACTCTGTGTGGAAGGGACCTGAGGAATGAGTCAGAAAAACTCAAACAACATTGTATCCAAAGGAGATGAGAGAGCCTTTATTCCCTCAGTTTGATAAGTGATATTTCTTAAGCTGAGTACTCATAAATTTGAAAATCTGAAGGATCAGCCCAACAGCCCTAGAACAGCTTGTAGCTCTGATCTGGAGTGCCAAGCATTCCTGTTATTTCATCTGATCTGAGGGCAGTGGTGAGGAAACGGGTTCTGTAAATATTGTCCCCAAAGCACTTCACATTTCTACAGAAAGCAGATGCCAAGCATTTTCATCAGTGTTGATGTTCAGAATTATTGGACTACAACACCAGTGGGCTCCTTGAGAAAGCAGAGTGCTTGCACAGGTCAGGGGAAAGGGGAGGGTGGTGGGAAATCTGTAAAGTCTGCATGAGGGAGAAGTCAGCGGGAAGAGAGGTTTAAAAATGAAATGTTTATCACTAGAGGGATATAGAAACACAATGATAATTTAAAGTATGAGTCACAATAGCTTTGTTCAACCAGGGAACAAAATGACTTAGAGGCAGAATGAAATTACTTCATTTGTGTCTCTTAAGAACATGATGTTCTCTGTCTGCTCCTGTCCTTGGGCTATCTGGCAGAGGGTCTGTGCTATTATTCCCCAAGATGATCAGCAGCCTTATGACTGGATGACTGGCCATTTGTCTGTGGCTGCTTTTCAAAGAAATCATGTTGCTGATGGTGTTTACTAAGTGCCCAGCATTGGGCATCACTTTCCTTGACTTAGATCATCTGATCTTCCTGTTACCCTTGTGGGAAGTTTCATTATCTCCATCTTTTAAAAAAATATTTTATGGGGCTGGAGAGATGGCTCAGCAATTAAGAGCACTGGCTGCTCTTGCAGAGGACCTGGGTTTGAATCTCAGCACCCACATGGCGTCTAACAACTGCCTGTAACTCCAGTCCCAGGGGATCCAACAGCTTCTTCTCACCTCCTTGGGCATTGCATGACACGGGTGCACTCACCTACATGCAGGCAATAAACACATATACATATGCGGGTGAGTGTACCCGTGTCGTCCAATGCCCATGGAGATCAAAAGCGGGTGTGGGATCCCCTAGGACTGGAGTTACAGACAGTTGTTCATTGCCATGTGGGTGCTGGGAATCGAACCCGAGTCCTCTGCAAGAGCAGCCAGTGCTCTTAATCGCTGAGCCATCTCTCCAGCCCCCTCATTATCTCCATTATTTCCATGAGGAAACTGAAGCCTACAGAAGCTTGACCGCCCATCTAAAGTCACTCAGCCATAAGCTACAGTGTGGCCAGGCAGTGTGAGCACAGCGTGCTGCGACAGCGTAGCTCTTACTTGCCTTCTGGTTCCATAAGATGATCTCTCTCTCTCTCTCTCTCTCTCTCTCTCTCTCTCTCTTCCCTCTCTCTGTCTTTCTGTCTCCATCACTGTCTCTTTGTCCCTGTCCCCTCCTTTCTCTCTCTCTTTCTCTCTCTTCCTTTCCTCTTACCTTTGTCACTAACTGCTCTGGAAAACTCTGCTGTGTTTAGTGGTGGTCGCCTGCAGTGGAGAGGGTTCACATGCAGATTTGGGTTGCCTTGTGGTGTCTGGGCTTTTGCCTTTTCTAACTGTGCCTGTCTCTCTTCAACCCTGGCATATTCTAAACGAGACAGCAATCAATAGCTTCCTAGGAAGAGAGAGCAAAATATCTTCCCTCCATCTAAACAGAATTCCTCCTTCTTGCCTCACGAGGTAGGTACCTTTCCCTTCAGATTCCCAGCTGGCTTCTTACTAAGGAATTAACACCCTGGTTCACACTGTGTGTGTGTGCGCGCGCGCGCGCACACACAGCAGGCACTTGTGTTCTCTGAACCAGTACTGTAGAATTCCATGTTCATTGTGCGTTCTTTCCTCTAACAAGTAATTGTGGAGCTAGTCCCCCAGAGCCCGCACCCGTAGAGACATCGGGCTGCTCCCCCGGCCTCCCGAAGTTGACAGGGTCCAGAGAGGATGTTATCAGCTTTCTAGAACAAACAGTTCCTCACTTTGTCCCTCTGTCCTGTTCACTTCAGGCTGTTCAGTATCCCTGGCTAGACCTGCCAAGTTTCCAGGCAGAAAGACTGCTCCAAATGTGACCGACACCTCCATGTCCTCCAGGGGGCACTACTGCCCCTCATTGAAAACCCTACACAGCCTGGCTTTGACAGGTTATGTGTAGGAGTCCCCATCAGTTCTGTCTTGTATGGTGCAGGCTTGTCTTTATTCTGATGTGGCCTGTGCTTAGTTAGGGTAGCACAAGAATGTGTATGAGGAAGCAGATGAGGCTGGGGAGATGACTCAGTGGGAAAAGTGCTTGCTGAGGAAGCATGAAGGCTTGAGCTTGAATCCCCAGCACCCGTGTGAAAAGCTGCGCATAATCATGGTGGGACAGATCTGTAACTCCAGGACTGGGAGGCAGTGACTGACTGGAGGCTCCCTGACAGTCTCTTATTAGACTTCTAATCTGCAAAACCATGAGAAAATTAATTTCTATTGCTTCAAGTCACGTAGTTTGTGGTAGTTTGTTGCAGCAGACGTAAGTTAAAGGAAGGCAAGCCGACGGATAGCCGTGTTGAGCTGTCAATCTCTTCCCCCAAGGCTTGGTTTCCTTTGTGTTCCTGAGTTTAGCCGGTGGCTGGTTCCCACCTGTTCTTATCACAGCCAGCCTTCAGAGCACGCTGTCTCTCAGGTGTAGTTTGTACCCAGAGGATTCGTGTGCTGGATGCATGGTCCCCAATGTGATGGTATTAAGAAGACCTGGTGGAACTGTTAGGGTGTGAGACACAGTGGGAAGTGTGAGGTCGGAGGCAGGAGGGGAGGAGGCAATGCTCTCAGAAGGAACCAATGCCAGTCTGTTGGAGGAATGGCGGCGAGCTAGTTTTGTTTTTTAATATATGTATGAGTGTTTTACTGGCATGTTTGTAAGTGCACCACATGTATGCAGTGCTATGAAGAGGCCAGAAGAGGGTGTCAGATCCCCTGGACTGGATTTATGGGTGGCTAGTAGCTGTCATGTGGGTACTGGGAATCGAACCTGGGTCCTCGGCAAGTGCAGCCAATGCTCTTAACCACTGAACCATCTCTCTATCCTAGAGATAGAGAGCTAGCTGTTTTAAAAGAGCAAGTTTGGGGCCAGTGATATGGCTCAATGTGTAAAGGCACCTACTGTCAAGCCAGATGACCTGATTTTGATCCCCCAGAGCCCACGTGGTGGCGAGCAGACTCCCACAGTTGTAATGTGACCTTCTGTGTACACACGCACACACTAAATGTAAAAAAGGAGTAAGTTTGGCCTCTGAATCCCTGTCTGACTTTCTGTCTGACTTTCTGTCTGACTTCCTGAGTCTGCCATCTGATGCTTCCATCTCACACCCATTCTCATTTTTTCTTTTTAAAAAAAGATTCTATTTATTTTTATTTTACATAGATGAGTGTTTTGTCTGCATGTATGTTAAATGCACCATGTACATGCCTGGTGCCCATGGAGGTCAGAAGAAGGCATCAGATCCCCTGGAACTGGAGTTAAGGATGGATGTTAGCTGCCACAAGGGTGCTGGGAATTGAACCTGCATCCCCTGGCAGAGCACCCCGTGCTCTTAGCTGCTGAGCCATTTCCCCAGGCCCCCATGGTTCTGTCACTGCTCTGTGTCTCTTGTCCTACCACTGGATGTGGAGTCACCTGGATAATCCAGGATGAGCTCGACTCAAGGTCTGTAAGTTTTCAAGGACTCCCTTCCCAAATGGAGTTGTGTTTTAGCCTCTGGAGATTACGGTGCAGACACATCCTTTCTGAGTACCAGCAGTCAGCTGCAGCCCTGCCATTCTTTGTAGTGACTTAAAAAAGGTTATTTTTTTAGCTTTGTGCAGTGATAGTATCAGAACCAATGAGATTTATCTGAGGAATGATTATTGCTGATTGAAAACAAGCAAAAGATTTATTTTTTTGTTTAATGTGTATGAGTGTTTTGCTTGCATGTATGTGTACCACATGCATGCAGTACTGGAAGAGACAGTAAGAGGGAGTCAGGTCCTCTGGAACTGGAGTTATAGACAGTTGTCAGCTGCCATGTGGGTGCTGAGACCTGAACCCAGGTCGTCTGCAAGAACAGCCAGTGCTTGTAACCACTGAGCCATCATCTCTCCAGCTCCCTTTCTAATGATTTTAATAGTGTCAGCAGATAGCATGATTGTATTTTCAGCTTAAAAAAGTGGTTCCTGATGGTATTAATTAACTTTCTGATCCCTGTGACCAAATACTTGACATGAAAAAACTTCAGAGAGAATTTGTTTTGGCTCATAGTTTGAGAGCGCATAGTCAGTCTACCATGGCGGGGAAGACACCACAGAGCTCACAGCCCTGGATATGAGGGTCACTTTGCTCACATCTTGGAGTACCAAGAAATGCAGCAGGTGGTGAAAGGAGGTGCTGACCTACAAGAATGGCCCCCTGGAGAGCCACTTCCTCCAGCTGGACCCGCCTCCCATGGGTTCCACAACCTCTCAAAAGGACACCCACCAGCTGGGACCAACCATTCAAAAACAGGAGCCTGTGGGGACATTTCATACTCAAGCTATAACCCTGGTTGGTTAAAATAGGAGCAGGTAGATCACTGATCACTGCTCCATGGAAGGCACCATACCTTCTCTTACTCAAGGTGGATAACTGCTTAGTTGACACTTGAGAAAAGATTTTTAAATCTACTTTTATTTATGTATATGTGTGTATTTCACTGCTCCATGGAAGGTGCCATACCTTCTCTTACTCAAGGTGGATAACCGCTTAGTTGACACTTGAGAAAAGATTTTTAAATCTACTTTTATTTATGTATATGTGTGTATGTGTGTCTGTAAGTGAATGTCACCTGTGTGAGGGGTGCTCTTGGAGACCAGAAGAGGGAGGGTGCTGGATCCCCTGGAACTAGAGTTACAGGTGGTTGTGAACCACCAGACAAGTGTATTGGGAACCAATCTCAGGTCCTCTGAAAAATCCATGAACAC